CCGCAACTAACCTATACCTAAAATATTATCGGGCCGGAATTCACCGGTCTCCAACACCGGAAACGAAAGGTCGGGCCGCAACTCACCCTCAGCCATTGAAAAAGAAAACTCGGCACAATATTAATATATTATATTAGATAGGTACAAACAAAATCGTTGATGACTTTTCTGCCACGAAARCAAGAAAAATTTAATTTTTATGTTTAATTTTACATAAATATTTATAAATAATAAATATAACTTATGAGAAAATAATTTATTTTAGAGTTATAATTTAAGGTATGACGGTTGTCAATTTTTATTTGAAATCGAGGGCCCCAGKCTGGATATTGTGTTCACAGGGATCCTTTGTTATCAAGTTGCGCCACTGACGTATAATATAATTAGTCGTAGATTATGCCTGTTATAAAACAAATCGATATTATTTAATAATATTGTAATAATAATATGCTCTTGTTCTGCCTCGGATGAATAATAGGTCCTATTGTAATATATTCTATCTTATAGTGACAGTGTTGAATAGACCAGTAGGTACAGTCCCAAGCCTCTTCAACAAAGTACTGTCTTTCACATGATCAAGGTCTAGTGTTCGTATTAAAATAGTTATCATAACACAAATAACCATTAGGTTTAGGTCATCACTCATCATGATTTATGTTGGTTTTGTGTAAACGTCGTCCAGGCGTACTTGACAATAGACATTTTACAGTTTAACGTGCGTCCGGGTCGACAGCGAACACAATTTTTTTCCACATAAATCACATCGGTTGAGACAAATACGCACGTTTTAGCCGATAGCATAATATATATTATTGAACATTATATAATTATGAGAAATGCTTCGTACGTGCAATATTCCATCTAATATTAGCCATTTTATTATTGCAATTATATCGTATGCAGTAATGTGGTACTTAATTATGGTAGGTAGGTATGTAAAAATTACTTTGCGTCCGTGAAGGTATGGACAACTATATATTTATTTGCACTGCGTACAGGATGGTCTGTGATCGATTGGATTGGCAATGTTAAATTGTTAAAGAGGTAGATATAATTTTTTGTTCGATTAGTATAAATACGATTTCTTAAAYAAAAAAATATTTTATTGTTTTAACTAAATATTACAAGCAAAAATTTAATACTTTAATTTTAGTGATTTTTGCGTATTTTTTATTTACCAAGATGGCAAAATCAGGATTTTGAATTTTACTTCRCCAGCTTACTAGGGTGTGTGAGTTGTGAAATATATCGTGATAATGTTATTGTTCGAAACCACAAATGAAATGTACAAAATATGCTCGAACCGGAACAATTAATGCAAAAAGTTTGATCTAAAAATCCAAACAATGAAAGTAATTGAAAAAAAAATGTCGATCGAATGAACCTAGTACCTAGGTATCCTACGTATATCTATCGTATTTCACATGATTATTTTATCGAAATACTTTTTTTTTTTTAAATTTAGATTTTTTCTCAATTCCACGTGAATTTTCAGGGTTTGTGACACAACTAACACATATAAATAACACATTATCATCAATTAAAAAAAAAATTATTGATATTAGGCATCTTTAATATATTATACATAATATATAGATTTTTTTACGATGTAACATGCTACCTACTACACCAGAATACATTTTTTTTTTTTTTTAATGTTCCATTAAAAAAAATTCAATCGGATTTTGACTTGGTCTTTATCTGTTATACAATAAATAGGTAGTTAATACGACTGCAGTTCAAACTATGTACACATATTATACAATTGGGTAAAAACCGTTTTTCTTCGTTTTTTTCCCCCCTTAAAAACGTAAAAATGCTGCCGATCGAACGTATTACATTGTATGCGCTCACGTGCATGTACCTATTCCAATATTATGTAAAATGTTCATGTTTATTTTTATTGCGGCATTCGGTGGAGGACCTCGGCTGGCCGTCGCTTCGCGGGTAAAATATATTATATTATTATTTATTACGTTATGCGGCATAACTTATGCCCCCGCGTGCGCGAAATACTCGAATCGAGGTCGGCCTACCGAGTGCCGAGTGGACTGAGGACGCGTCTCGTTCTCGTCGCTCCGATGATAATAATTGATAATCCAATAAATCGCATCATTGTTCGCGAGCCCCCACCGCGTGCGGATCTACATGTCAGTGCCCAGTGCATCACGCGCATCGTCGTCGTCGTCATCGTAATTCCGTATCTATCGGTGAAAACAGATCGCCGCATCAGTATTCAGTTGAGTGTTGACTAATATTGCGGCACGGTGTTCGGTCGTGCGTGTCATTCCGACATTCGTGTAGTGTATTACTATAATATAATATTATTTTTAATTTTTATCATACGACCCCCGTCCGAGATATGAAACATTTAAAATTGTTCGCGACGTTGAAAATTACGATCAATTAATAAATAATTAAAATACATATTATTAAGTTTTAAGACTATAAAACCGAAGCCAGCAAGCTGCAGTGTTCGATCTATATTATTATATCGTCGCAGGTGCGTACCCCGTCGTTATAAATACATAGTTAAAATATAATATCACAACTGAAACTCTTCCCCGTTGGACACTAAATTTTCGACCTGGGCCCGTGCGCTCCTTCGAACAAAATGGCCGGGTAACTTCGTGCCTCCATAACCACCCCCATGTCGATAACCTCAAAATAATAATAATAATAAAAAGACAGTGCGCGAAAAAGAAAAAGAAAAAAAGGGAAAACAATATAGGAGAAAAAACCGATTTTGCCCGACTCGCGTACGATACTATTTAGGTCGACCGCGCGCGCGGTTGTTTGTTCGATAAAAACGATTTCGTCGCTCAACACGTCCGTTCGCGTTAAGCGGTCATCGTCGTCTCGCATGCGTCCCGCCGTCCCCCGCAGCCGCCTGCAGTGGTGGTGGTGACGACGAGCTGTCGCCTGTCCGTCCGTTCGGTGGTACCACCGCTGCCTCGTCCGTGATTGCTAATCGTTGGTGGTAGTGCAGCTCTCCCGGGCCCGTGTGTGAAAACCCGATCCTCTCGCGTTCCGGCGTGGACGATCCGATGGCCGCGTCCACCGTCCCGGCGGCTTCCGTGGCCGCGCTACTGGTAGTGCTCCTGCTGGTGGTGCTACTGSCTCCGCCGCCGGCGGCCGCAGCGTCCGGGCAGCCGCCGGTCCGGTGCACCAGGTCCGAGCTGAGCGCTTGCTTCTGCGGCCGGACGACATACGACCGACAGGAATTGTACGCCGTCAACTGCACTGGAACAGGGCTGTCCATGCAACAGAGCATCGACGTGTTCCTAAACCTGCCCAGCGAGACCGAGGTAAGTGATCAGCTATCGCTTGTGGAGGGTAACGTACACGACATTTTGTGGTTCAGAAATTATTCCAAACATAAAAATGCAAATCGTAAAAAAAATTGCCTTGAAATATTATATGCCATAGGTAACTCACCTCCAGGTGGTGTCTACGTTCATGAATCATCATTTTTCTTTGGCCAYCTCACAYYTCTTGGAAACGGCTATTAGCCTTCTTGATTAATTATACCAGTGACGATATTTCACCCATATCAATCTTCTCCCTTAAATTTTACTTATGATTTCGACCGTCCATWCATAATTTTGATTTATATTAGTGTGATAATTGTAGGTATGGTAAACGAGGACTCCCTAATCCATTACTTTGTCTCACCATATCTGTACCAACTCATGTGGCTTTAATCGCAGGTACTGATATTCACCGGCAACTATATGCCCGAGCTGCCAACAAACATATTTGGGGTCAACAGCACCATGGAAAAACTACGATTCCTGGACATGTCCAACAACGGCATTCAAGAGATTAAAGGAAAGAGTTATCATCACGTTTCAAATGTCGAACGGCTGATACTCAACAATAATCAAATCGGATTGAATGGCATTGGATTACATCATCCCAGGTGAGTTTCAAACATTATTCTTTTTGTTTTCATCCAAATGCCTAAGGTAATAACATACATGTCATAATTTAATTTATGCCTTAGTGATAATGACCTCTTGGTTTTAATTTAACCAATATACCTATCTCATGTTTAAAAAAAATATATTCTAACATAAATCTGTTAGATATAGGATAGTCTATTGTTGCCATTATTAATTTTAGGCATGTTTTCAAATTTAAATTTAACTATTTTTTATTTTTTTTAACCATTAAGTGTTATAAAAGGTGGTTTAGTGTTATTCATCTCTAATGAATATTAAGTAAGCTATTATATAAATTTGTGAGGTCACTATCTTGGTATTCATTCGAAATAATAATTACTCACTAGTGTGTGATCTCATCATGTTGTTTGCTTGCCACACCTAGTAGGACCACCTACTGATTGAATTATCCAGCAATAATATATCTAAATAAGGATTTATTTATGCACTAATTTTAAATATTGTCCCTATATATAATTTAAGTAAAATTAAAAATTGGTATATATTTTTCCGTATTATTCTTTAATTTACATAAACTCAAATTGAATATAACAAAATTTTCAGTTATTTTATAATTTATTAATATATTTAATACAATAATTTATAATTATTATAAATGCAAACAAATTTTTTAAATTATTATTATTTTTAAATTGAATGTATAGAGCAATACATGTATATACATGTATGGAGCAATTTTAGTCTAAAATGCTGATAGAAATTTAATTTWATTTAATGGCTCCTTCCATCATTTCTCCCGATATAATATAACATAATCCTATTAATAATAAAGTTCATCCATAATCTATGTATATTGCATAATATAAATATTTTCTATTTTATTCTTTTTTTTTTTTAACAAATTTTAAGAATTAATAACATTTTTTTTTTTATAGAGTTTTTTCAAACTTTGATAGTTTGATAGAATTACATCTCACTGATGCATTTGCTGATGAAGGTGTTGTGAATATAACTGCTGACTTGCATCAAGTATTTATGTACAGTAATTTAAGTCGCTTGGCCAAACTCCATCTTGAACAAAATAAGATGAGTGTCATAGTGGAACCTAGTGTTTTCTGCCCATTACCTCGTCTCCTCGACTTACATCTCAGCAACAATAAACTTACAGGCATTGATTTTGATATAAAGTGCATGCAACATTTGCGTTTCATTGACTTAGAAGGTAATCATATACGTGGGCTCTCTGAAGAACAATTCTCTGCCTTAGATAGTGTTCTATCAAACAATAGATCTTTGGCCATCGACTTGTCCAATAATCCATTCTCGTGTGGCTGTAACATAGAAAACTTATATAGTTGGTTGCGTACCACTAAGGTGAGTGTTCGCAACAGTGAATCRATAAGATGTAGCCAAGATTTGCAAAAAAATCCTCTTGACCCATATGCTGCTTATCGCAAYGATTGTCCAACTCCAATACGTACCACATTAATTGATAGTGGTCACGGGGGACACAAATTGGTAATGCTGTTTGTGTTTTGTGCTGTAATTGCATTTTTGGGTGTTGTAGTATATGTATCTAGGTTTGGATTGAAACGATTGAGACCTGAATTTAATACTTCTTCGAGAAAGATACACTACACTACTATTGGAAAATGTGAAGAACAAGAAATACATGTATGATAATATGGCAAATGATTAGTGGTGTTAACAGTATGATATGTGGAAATTCCGACTCATGCTTTAGGGAAAGACTGATAATCGTTTTTTTTTTTTTTTTTAATTCAATTTAATTAAACAATTTAAAGAGTATATTTATGAATTGTTACTCTTTTGTATAGTTATGTTATAAAAGTTTTGAATGAACAATTTAAAAAAAAAATATTTTAATTTTTGATTGATACAAGTTTTTTATTATTTTTTTTATTAATGACATTAAAAAAATGACTGTTATTTAACATATTTAATATTTATTATTTTTTAAATAATTTTTATTGTCGATTTGTCATATATATTGTTGATCTCTAATATCTCTTGTTCCTTTGAAGTATCTCTATTTTTAGGGTGAAAGTATGGCCAGTCGGACTTTCCACATCTGTTAATACCTAATCCCCTTAGTAGCTAAATAAATCATGTTGCTTTGTGTTCATTCACATCATGTATCTGTTATAAAGGAAACTTAAAGTTGACTTAACCTAGTATCTGATTAAGTATTATGAATTTTTTTAAATCCTAGTGAGATGTTACAAAAAAACACCGTCCCAATTTGTTTTTTATTTTTTGTTGCTAAGTGTTAACATTATATAATTTTTAAATGAATGAGCTTTTACATATGTATTTATGTACTTACAAAATTATGCTAGTGATATTTGACTAGCACATGTTTTCAATACACTATTTTAGCCCATTTTTTCCTAATTTTAAATAATTTATTTCTTTCTCAATATTAAAATGTATATCATACTTGAGTTAAAGATAAATTGTGTCATAATTCATAGAATTCATAGGCGCAACTAGACCTACATTTTTTGGGGTGCTAATACTATAGATATTGGATAAGTGTTCAGTGAACATTATAGAAAACCATTAAATATCTAAATAAAATTATAAAATAAAAACAAAGAATAGGGTTTAAACATTTTGTGGTGCTGAAGTCCTCCTAGCATCCCTCTAGTTGCGCTTATTATGTTCACATTTCTTGTCACCTATATTGTCGTGTAACATTTATGTAGTAATACCTTTGTTATTTTATTATCTGTTCTAACTTACGCCTTATGGATATTGTATTCTTGTTAGACAATCAAGAAACTCGAGATGAACACCAATGGCTTTTTCACAATATATTATATTTGCTATAATAATGATTAATATTTATTTTACATTTGTGGTAAACCATAATTTTAATGTACATTAAACAATGTACTCAAATTTCCTCTTATATTACATCTATTAACATTCTCAAGTTTCTTGAATTACAATATGTATTGTGATTTATATTATATGTACATATAAATGCTTAGGATATTTAACTTATTTTTAGAAGTATACATTACACATAATAATTTATTTATCTATACTTGGCTAAAATTTAATTCTTAATTATATGCAATTTACAGTGTACATTTTTATACCATTGTTAAAACTTGTTTYTTATAGATTTAAGTATAGAAAAGTAAATACTTCACGTTTCTCATTACTCTTCACTTGTAATCATAACTTATACTTAACTGCTTATTAAATAATTAGGCAATTGTTGACAATCCRAAGTTGCATATCTTGGATTCTAATGTTATTGTAATACTAATAATTAACATCACACTGTATACAAACCTTCATTGAAAACTTAAAATGACTACAAAATAATGTTTAGGCARCTTTTATTGTCTCGTATGACATGATTGTTTTAAAGGTAACGAAGTCGGAATATTAAAAATGTTTCATAAAAAATGAAAAAATGAAAAAAAAAATTGTTAAATGTACTTAACAAATTTGTTGATGTTTTGTTTTGAATCTCGGATTTTATAACGTTGTTTATGTGTATATATTATGATGAGTTGTGAAGACGCACTTAACACTTTGCGCTCCCTTGTCAGTTAATCGTTTTCTAGTAACACCTTTTTAGTTGAGTAAATAGAAGACTTAAACACAACATAACTAATTTTTGCTGGCAATTTATTGTACGTGCGGCCGACGTATTTACATTTCGCAGTGCAATCCCGAATACGCGTTTATTGTTACTATTATTATATAATTAAATTGGAGCGCAAAGAGTTGAAATGTTTTTTTTTTATTATTATTAATACTATTATTATTACTATAAAATATTATATAAAAGAAAAAACCAAATAATAAAAAATACATATACATCATATACCGCAATTTTAATTTTTAAATTATAAATTTAACCTCGGCCGTGTTCATAAACATATATGTATATTGATTCTTCTTAACGTACAACGTAACAAAAGAAACTTTATTTTATACATTTTAATGATTGCAGGATAATTTTTTATTCGGTGCATCGAAGGACACGTCGTAAGTATTCTACTTCGTAGACACATATATTATCATCCTTATATGTGTATAGTAACATTGAGAGTTAAACATTTAATCGCCTCAGACGCCACCTAGTACACTCTGTATAATAGTATTATTAGTTACATCGAATGATCGATAATATTCACCCCTGCTGGGCGATGAATGTCCTGCAAGCCAATCTATTTCATAAAAATAACTGCGAAGGCGCACATGCAGTGCCTGTGSAATACATGTGTCCTATGAGTACGTATAATAYAATGCGTAATTGAATTATCGATGTACGGCAAAACTTCAGTACCCACTTGACACTATATCTATATGTGCCCGTGATGCAATTTTAAATATTAATTATTTACGGAAGTGCGTAGAATTTCAAATCCGATCGAATATTATAATAATAGCCGATCGGACCATACGCCGTCATTGGCACTTTGCGCAGCCGTACCCTCTTGTCTATGTACATATTATACGTCATTTTAATTTATTGAAAAGGTTCGAGAAAACTGTAGAGCGATCGCGTTAGCTAAAATATCACATTTCTCTGCAATGTCTGTATAATATATCTACTTATATGAACTGCTACTTGAATTTGAAAACAAGTTGAATGATGAAGCAAAAATGTAAGAACAAATGTGTGCACCTGAATATATTTAAATATGTCTCATAATTGGCTATATATAGGGCAGGGGTTCTTAATCTCGACCTATTTTATGTCGGCATACCACCTGGCATCTATTGCACCTCTTGACCAAATAACGCCTCGTTTTTTTGCTTATCAAAAATGTATACGTTATTAATTTACGTGTATGAGATTTTATTTCATTAGTAACAACAAATCTATTATAATATAAGCTTTTAATGCGTAAGAAAAAATGTGTATATAAATAATACAATTATTGTTAATATCAAATAAACCAAATAATATTTAATGTGAATAAAGATCCTTTCCATTTTTTTTTTTTTAGGGGGATTTTTTTAGCGTAGGTACCACTGCAGGTTGATAAAACGTTGGACTWTAGGAGTTATGATAAAAAGGTTGTGTGCATAAATAATAAATATTTTTCAAACACAATAAAAACTCCATTTTCTGCTACTCCCTTCAATTAATTCCAGCACTGTGTGTTTAACATAAAATATAAAAGAAAGATAGTAATATCAGTTGGTTAGATTTTAAAAGAATAGTATTTCAAAAAAAAAAAAAACTATTAATTTCAGGTCATTATATTTCATTGCGTTTACGTTTCAATATTTTATAAATAACTTTTCTCTCGTATTGATGTTTTATGAAAATGTATGCAACTTAAAACAACGCATCACTCTGTTTAGCACGAACATCAATATGACGACGGCATACTTTATTTTAAAACACTTTAATTATGTAAAACGGCAATATCCAACCTAAATGTATAAATTGTGTTAGGTGTGTTAACACGTTATTAAAGTACGCGCACCTATTCATCTTTAGACGTATTTATATACGTTATAACATTGGTTCTCAACCGGTGTGCCGCGAGATTGTCTAGGTGTGCAACGAGAAATGTTATTAAATATGAAATTTTTTTTTTATACAGCAACAAAATAATATTTTAAGAACTAAATTATTTAAAGTAAACAACGGAATTTTATATCATAAAGTTAATAGATTTTTAATTATTATTGAGAAACTCGAGCTTGTCGTTTCGTACACAAAAGTTCAATACGTGGTCGAGTTGAAGACAAGCAGACACGCATTCTCTGATCAACGGAAAGAAGCCTCTCCCGTTTTTTTGTTTTTTATGTTTGTTAGTGTCGAAAAGCCTAACTTTCCGATGTTGTTGTGGATGTCAAGTGCGTGAGTGTGCCGTGAAAACTTGTGATGTATAATAGTATGCCGTGAACCAAAAAAGGTTGAGAACTACTGCGTTATAACATGACATAGGTACGTCATTCCTATGTAGTTTTGACAACTGGGTAAAAAGAAATTGTAGTCTCCATTGAATGGTTTAATATGTGTCGCGTCGTTTTGGTGTAGTGTGTCACKCATCGATTTTAAGTCCTATACACATATTTTATACCTCACATTAATGTGCCTCCCCGCAATTAACACCTAATCGTGACGACATTCGATTTTTAGGTAGGTACCTACATGCATCAATAAGTATACAAATTATAATTGCTTGATTTATATAATAATGAGAACATATGAGAACTGTATGCTTGACTATTATTGAAGGACCRCATTTGGACATTTTATACTACCCAGTGTAAGCCATATACATATACAGTCCAACTTGGCTGACTCAAAGTCTATGATACCTCAAACTTTTTTACCGATTCTTTCAACTTCGAGTTATTTAAGTCCGACTGTACACTTAATAGGTATATCTACCGTCAACACATA